GCTTTGACGCGCCGCGTCGCGTCGAGGACCTCCCCGCCGACCGCCTCTGCATGCTGCACCACGGCGGCCAGTGCGCTGGCCAACAAGCCATCGTACGCGCCCAGGGCGCCGCCAGCGGCGGGGCCAGGGGCAGCACCACTGCTGGCGGAGCTGCGTGCCGGCGTACCGCCACTGGTGGGGAGTGCTCCGCCCGACGACAGCGCAGAAACCTGGGCGTGTGTGGTTATCGCCGCGATCGCCCTCGTGTGAGCACCGATGATTGCATGAAATCAAACGCCAAGCGCGCGCGGCGCCCACACGTGCGCTCGATGCAAGACCGCGGCATCGTCCAGTCCACAGCCAGCATACCTCTAGCTGCTCAAGCCGCGCCGCCACTGCTTCCAAACGGCTCACGACAGCCTCCAACGGGGTCCCCTGCAAACAATGAAGACGGTTGGAGAACTGGGCGAATGGCCGCGTGCAGTGGACGGCATGCCTGGCGCGCCGGTTGGCTTGGTACACACCATCAATGCTCCGTTGACCGAGTGGAGGCCAGGAAACGGGGTGGGCCAAGCACAAGATCACGGGATCGTACGTGCCCAGCGACTGCAATGAGTGAAACACAATTTCGAGAAAATTGTGGCACGTAAATGTCCATGCTATAGCTTATATAGCTGGGGGAAAGCCGCCCTTCCTGAATGACCCCCTCACTGGTACTGCGCACTGCCGGTTGCCCAGCTGAGCTCAGGTGGTGGAGGGTGCAATCGTCGATGCATGTGCGCTGCACCACACCGTATGCCAAAACGCCATGCGGTAGTTCAATTGACATGTTACAGGGGACCCAACCCCGATTTGGGTCGCATAAGAAGCTCTGGGGGCAAGGCACCAAAGACAGAAAGTGATCCACATTTCAAAATCGACCAGTTGGCGGTTTAGCGGTTGCGGCCGCACGTTGAACACAGGCTTCGCAGCGCCAGCGAAGAAGGGTAGAGCCCGGGCTTGCGAGCCGTCCAAAACTAAAAATGCAAGGTGTACGCCCATGCGGTGCGCGCGCGGCGGCCCGCAAGAGGTGCGCATGAAACCGACCCACTTTATTGGGCACAAGCAAGGCGGGCGGCCACCGAGCTCCATCCTCCCCCTGCCCCCTTCATACGTGTGCACCAAACGGCAGAGCACCATGCGCTGTGAGGCGCCCAAAACATCTTTGCCTCGCACCCTCAGCTTGGCTCGCTCGGGGGCCTCATGTGGTGGCAGCAGAGATGGAGCGGAGCGGCGGGCTGCGGCCCCCACAACGGCTGCCTGCACCGCTCAGTGCGCATGCATGAATGGCAGCTCGAGCCCAAACCCAGACGCCAGCACCAAGACTCCGACCAAGATGGCCACGGCGCTGGCAATGGTGCTGAGGTGGTCCTGCAACCACGGCCGCTCCTTGGTCAGCGCCGCAGACGTCGTGCCGATGACGGCGGTGTAACCGCCCATCGCAGCGACGGTCCCGATCACAAACATGCTGCAGTAAGCAACCGCCGCCAGCTTGGTGGGCAGCGCCAGCGCCGGCACGACGACAAAGAGCGCGTCCGGCTGCAGGCCGTACACGATGCCCGTCGCGTACGTCGCCCACCCGACCTTCACGGTCTGCCGGATCGGCGTCACGCCGCCGCCGGCGCCCGCCGCCGCGAGCTGCGGCCCGCCGCCGCCGCCG